CTTCAATAATAATGATGAAGAGAGGTTAGAGGTTGTGAATTTGAGTGGAATGGCATTAGAGTCTCTCCCTAATCCTTCACTCAATTTAGCTCAAATTTGCAAACTTGATATCTCCAACAATCATCTCCAGGTTCATATCTAAACACACACATATGAATTTATACGTGAGAATCATGATTCAAAGCATATAATAGTCATGTAGTACCCTTGCACAAACATATCATAGTCATGTTTTTGTGCACAAACTAATATTAATTTGTCTATTTGGATGATTATTGGGAAAATTTACTTCATTTCTTTTGGATGAATCAATACAGATTACAAGCATCTTGCAATTACTACATTTTTTGTTGATATTTTGGGTTTAATTTGTATGTGACACAGACCATACCAGAATCACTTACAGCGAGACTACTCAATTTGATAGCATTAGATGTTCATTCAAATCAGATCAAAGCTCTTCCAAACTCCATTGGTTGTCTCTCAAAGCTCAAGATTCTCAATGTTTCCGGCAACTTTCTTGTTTCCCTCCCTAAATCTATCCAACATTGCAGGTTTCACTCCAAAACTTCTCACAAAACACCAACCAAACATGATTCCCATTTTTGTCTTGGTTTTCATTTTTCAGGTCTTTGGAAGAACTAAATGCAAACTTCAACAAACTCATTAGACTACCAGATTCTATTGGATTTGAACTCACCAATCTAAGGAAGCTTTCTGTCAATTCCAACAAGCTAATTAGCCTCCCAGTCTCCATTACTCACCTTACCTCTCTTCGTGTCCTCGACGCTCGTCTCAACTGCCTCATGATTCTCCCGGAAGATCTCGAGAATCTCATCAACCTTGAGATCCTCAATGTCAGCCAGAACTTCCAATATCTTTCCGCACTTCCATCTTCCATTGGCCTCCTCATGAACCTCATCGAGCTCGATGTTAGCTACAACAAGATCACATCCTTGCCTGAGTCTATTGGCTGCATGAGAAGGTTAAGGAAGCTGAGCGTTGAAGGAAACCCGCTCGTTTCCCCACCCATTGAGGTGATGGAACAGAGTTTGCAAGTGGTGAGAGAGTATCTGACTCAGAAGATGAATGGTGGCTCACCAAAGAGTCCGATCAAGAAGAAGTCGTGGGGGTTCGGTAAATTGGTGAAGTATGGGACGTTCAATGGTGGATCAAGAAGCTGGAATAGAGAGGAGAGTGAAGGGTTCATCATGCCTGAGTACCGTTCCATCGACAGTCTTGCTTCCCCTAGGTATTCTGGAATGTTCTCTCCTCGCCGTCTCTTTTCTCCAAGAACTTATTTCAGCAGATAAAACAGAGGTTCCACATTCCTACAAGCTTATGCACATCATCATGCCCAAAACAATCCAGTTTTCTTTATCATTTTAATTTAAGTATCACTTTTTGTACAAAGAGTCTCTCAGTATGTTCATTAGAATCTAGAATTCATTTTTTTTTCATTACATATGCATGCACAGATCCTTGTTTTTATGTATATCATAATTTTTGTTCATGAATAAAGTATCTCCTTTCAACATTAGCTAAAGACTCTAGAAGGTTCGATTTATGACGATATATTTCCTCAAAATTTTGACAGATGTTTAAGACTAACAAACAAGGCCTCACATTCTTCGGTTGTATGAAATTCTCAGATATCTCCCATACTCTCTAACAATTGTTGTTTACTCTCCTCAATCTCAAATATACTTTGATAATCAAAACTATGTACATCACATACAAACTCTTTTTTCGATGTGTACATATGTAAAAAAAAATTATCTTTGATTTGTCTCTCATAAGTCACACTAAGAGAGTGTTCTCCTGGCATTACCTTCTGTTAAAAGTTAAAACTAATGGTAATGGCAATTTTTAATATTTCTCATTCATTATCAAATTTTTTTTTATCTTTGATTTGTCTCTCATAAGTCACACCAAGAGAGTGTTTTCCTGTCTCCAGTCCAAAAAATGGTTCATGATGGCATTACCTTCTGTTAAAAGTTAAAACTAATGGTAATGGCAATTTTTAATATTTCTCATTCATTATCAGAAAAAACAAACACATTGAAATCGTGAAAAAATCTTTACATACCCAGTAATTGCACATCAAGCAGTTAACTATACAAGGTAAGAAGTCGAATTAAGCTAACTAGAGCTAACAAGCTTTCTAGCTATAGTTAACAACTAAGTAATACTCTCTCCGTTTTTTATTATTGGATGTTTTGGTTTAAAACACAAAGTTTAAGAAAAAATATTTCTATCAAAAAAATTAGTAAATATAAACAATTCAATCAATTAAGAAAAA